CATCAGGTAAACAATCACATGTTTCATTATTATTAACTCGAAACATGGTATTTGCCAATCTTATATCTATGCTTATTCACTTTCGGGTACATTTTCCTAATTATCCTATAAAAACATTACATATGGATAATGCAAAAGAATTTGCATCAAAGTCTTTTGAAGACTATTGTACTGCAACAAGAATCGAGTTGACATATTGTGTTCCATATGAACATGCTCAAAATGGACTTGCAGAGTCATTTATAAAGCATATACAATTCATTACCCGGCCACTCCTCCTTCACGCAAATCTACCTGTATCTATGTGGGGTCACGCAGTTTTATATGCTGCAGCATTAATATGCCTCCGCCCTTCTTCTCTTGAAATTGTTTCACCACATGAGCTCATTTTGGATCGTGTTCCAAATGTATCTTACTTACGAGTATTTGATTGCCATGCTTGGATTCCAGTACCAAAATTTCAACGGCATACCATTGGAGCTCATCGACAATAAGACATATATATATTGGTTTTGATTCACCAAGCATTATTCGTATTGTTGATCCATCAACTGGCACATTATTATGTGCACATCTGCAAAATTGTCATTTTGAAGAAAATGTATTTCCATCTCTTCAAAGAGGAGTATCCAATCAATAAAGCAATAAAGTACTCATATTTGAAGCACCAGAAATGTTTACAATGAATCCCGATCCTAAGACATCTTTGACAGAAACTGAAGTTACTAAGATTTTACATTTAAAATGGATCACGGATAAAATACCTGATGGCTTCAATGATGCATCTAAAATTATAAGAATTCCTATTAATGAGGCTCAAAATGCACCTGCTCAGATTGCAATGCCATTGACTACAATACCTCAAGTTATAACAAGAACAACTAAAAGAACTCGTAGATCAGATAAGCAACCATATAAGAAGAAAGCTATAAAATTAACTAATCTTGGTATTATTTCTCAAGAAATTGCCACTCATCTTGCAGGACTACCAATTCATGATGATATATCCATGCATAATGTACCTTCAATTCCTATGAAAAACAATCTTGGAATTGGAAGGAATAAGAACAAGTTGAGTAAAGAATTATCTATTTTGTATTGTGCTACAGATGATATTTGGGACACACCATCTATTACGGTAGATGAATCATTTGCATATATGATTATAGAAGCCCTTTCTTATGAGGAAGACGATCTTAAACCTCAAACCATCGAAGAGGCGATGCGTCGCTCAAATTGGTCAAAATAAAAAACTGCTATTGAGGAGGAGTATGCCTCTTTGCGTAAGAAGAAAGTCTTTGGTTTAATTGTAGACACTCTTACATCTCGCCCTGTGGGATATAAAATGGTATTAATATGCAAGCGAGATGCTCAAGGCCAAATAACCCACTATAAAGCTCGTCTTACTGCTCAAGGATTTATTCAACGATTTGGCATTGATTATGAATACACATATTCTCCAATCATGGATTCAATTACATTTGGATATATTATTGGAATGATAGTTCATGCCACCCTTGAGATGCATCTGATGGATGTAGTAATTGCATATCTATATGGTTCTCTTGATGCAAATATTTATATGAAAGTTCTACCTGGCTTAGAAATAGGAACTCCAAATCAACTCGCTTCAGAAAAATATCGTGGTATTAAATTATGTAAGGCCTTGTATGATTTAAAACAATCCAAACAAATGTGGTATCAATGTCTTTGAGATTATTTAATTACAAATAATTTTATCAGTGATCCACTAATTCCTTGTTTGTTTATCAAACGAGATAAAACTAGTTTTGTGATCATCGCTGTATATGTTGATGATCTTAACCTAGTGGACACTACATCTGCATGTGTTACAGCTACAAACCTACTTACACGTGAATTTGAGATGAAAATGCTAGGAAAAATAACTTTCTGTATTGGTCTTTAAATTATGCATCTAACAGATGGTAGTATTTTTTTCTATCAACTAACGTATATTAGACAAATCTTACGAAGATTTAATATGATTGATGCTTATCCATTGTCTACACCAATGGTTGGACGTGGTCGTGATGGTCGTGATCCATACCGTCCATGTGAGGAGGAGGAGGAAATATTGGGAGACCAATATCTATACCTCGCAGCGGTTGGAGCACTTTTGTATTTAGCTACATCTACAAGACCAGATATTACATTTGCAGTTAGTGTTCTTGCAAGACATAATGCACATCCAACACTACGACATTGGAATGGCATCAAATATTTATTACGTTATTTAAAAGGTATTGAAGACTTGGGATTATACTATACAAAATCGATGGATCCAAAATTGATTGGATATTGTGATGCATGATATAAATCTGATATTGCAACAGCTAAATCTCAAATAGGATATGTATTTTTAAGACATAGAGCTGCAATATCATAGAAATCAGTGAAACAAACAATAACTGCAACTTCATCCAACCATGCAGAAATTATTGCCTTACATGAAGCATCTCGAGAATGTATTTGGTTGCGATCAATTGATAAATTCATTCAAACAACCTGTGGATTTTCATATGATGATTCTCCAACTATCTTGCATGAAGATAATAGTGCTTGTATTGCATAGATGCAAGTTGGTTTCATTAAAGGCGACAAGACAAAGCATATTGATCCAAAGTATTTTAATTATACTCATGACTTGATTACTGATCAAGCACTTATAATTAAGAAAATTGAATCTACAAATAACCTTGTTGATCTCTTCACCAAAGCTCTTCCATTAAGCAACCATCGTCGACTTACTTATGGTATTGGTATGCGACGACTTGCTTTTCTTGAATATGAAAGTTAATGAGCTCTTTAAATAATTAAAGAAAATGATGTTGTACTCTTTTTTCTTCATCTATGGTTTTTTCCTTAAATAAAAAAAGGTTTTCCTAGATAAGGTTTTAATGAGGCAACAATTGTTGATCTTGCAAGATCACAAAAAAGTATAGATCATAATTCTATACAAATTTTATATTATGTAAATATTATGATGAGCGAGGAGGAGTGTTGAGATCATTAAATGTAGCCGGCGCTCTCCATGATATTTACTGTAGACTACAGTAATTACCATAGCTATAGTATTTAGAGTCTAGTGGAGAAGTATTGTTTATCTTCTCCTCTTTTCTCTTCTGGTATACAAGACACAACCAAATCAATAGATTTTTGAGTGTGAAGCTCTCTCTCCTTAGAAACTCTCTTGTGTGTATGACTTACTACTACTCTTGTGTGTGTATGACTTACTATTACTCTTGTGTCTTTCTAAACATTCTCAACATAGGCAATGCTAGATCAGAGGTACGGCCTCAATGTTCTCAGAGTTTAGGAACAGTTTTGAGCTTGCGACAGTTGATCCAGCCGTAATTACTCCGTTTAATTGTTGATGTTTTGTATCCAACGAGGTTAGATGCTAACCTGAGTAATCTTTGAAGTTGTGCGTGGTGATTTTTACGAAGCTTATGAAGGATAATGTATCCCCGTTTCGATGCTTACTAACTTAGAGCTTATGTTAAATTGAATTTCATTTATGCCATGATCATCAGCATTCATTGTTCTAGATCCGACCTTGAGTCCAGTTGGAGTTTGCCGCACAACTGCGGGCAGTAATTCGTCTTGGAGGAGGAGCATTGGGTCTTCAATGTGAGTTGACAGGAGAAGGTATCAGAACCCATTAAGTAGGAGCTTACAAAGGTTTTGATGTGTTTCCTCACGCAAACCTCGATGAGGCCTTGCACAATGTCACTCTGCCACAAAATATCTCTGATCTGGCTGAAGCTCTCATCTTTGTGTCTTGGAAGTTGGAAGAATCGTTCTGTTCACCTGCACATCACCCAAGGAATCACAGGGTTTGGACCAGTGTTTCTAGCTGGTGGGGGGATGCTTTGATATCATCGTCTGGTACGAAGAGGTGCGCAGGTTTACGTCCGTATAAGTGGTGCAGGTGCGAGTAGACGACCGCTGAAACGGTGCTCTTCAACCCAAGAACGTCCTCAATGCTTCCTCTAATTCCGTTTAAATAGGATTCGGAAGTTGGAGCTTTCAACGTGGGATTTGTGATTGGTATGAACTGCCACACTGTGGTGGCTTTGTCGGGGTGCAACTTGCTTCTGATGAACCATGCCCGGGTTAATCGTCATCTGAACTAAGGTGCCTTGAAAGTCGGTTTTCGCACTGTTACGTATACTGGGCCGCGAAAAGTATACGCGGCCACTCCAAGGAGCTCAGAATGTTTCAGCTGCGCTACTTAGCCCCAAGACTCTGTGAATGGAACAAATGCTCTCCTTATATTCCTGCCGATACGGGATCAGGAGTGGAAGCTACTACCAACATTCTGAGTATAAAGCGGTCATAGTCGGGGTACGTCTGTGGTATAAAAAACTGTACTGTGCAAGATGACTGGGAGCCAAATTAGGGAACTGAGTACGACAAAGTTGCTCCGAAGCGATTCTTTGACCGATTGTTCTTTCAAGTTTTTCGGCTGAATGAGAGGCATATAATGAGACTTTTAAGCAAAGGGATACGTCAGAAGCTTCTTAAGCTGAACATGTTTGTTCTAGCCAACATCATCACAAGCAGAGATGAACAACCAGCGGTTCGAAATACAGAAGTTAAGTAATAAAACCTAGTAAAGCCAGGTCGAAGCTCGATGTGCCAGCTTTGCAGTAATCTTTAACATTACTTGCTCTTGTCTGGATCTCAACAGAACTCAATGCACGGGAACTGTCCCTCCACTATGAACCTAGTTTCAAAAGCTATGTAGTGATTGTGGGCTGGCACCCGTCCAACTATACATCTGTGGTACCCTGAAGAAGATGTATGGTACATGCACAACTTTCCAACAATACCCCCCTGACAGCATAATCATAATGTGATCTGACGGAGAAATTCGAAAAAGAAAGCTACAGATTCCTCCACTGTGCAGACCAGGACGTTATGATGAACACAGAATGAGTGAGTTTCCATAACGACGAACTTTTGGCAACAGTAGATCCTTTCGAAATTTTCTCTTCAATGGGAATATTTGACTCTTACAATCTGTTTAGCTCGCTGTACTTTGCAAGTCCACTTTTTAACTAAACTGGTTCAAGGAGCTGCATCTAAGAGCAGCTCAAGAAACGTAGCAATTTTTCCAGCCGCTTACAATCATGTACTCTCGCTGGAAGTTCTCATGAGCGTATGCCCTAAGATGAAAGATAATTGGAAGTAAACCTCAGGCTGGGAAAAAAGCGAAAATTTCCTGTTTCTCTCCTGTACAATTAAAATTCTGTTACATCCTTCAGTTGGCTAAGTGACATATCTCTTGCGGTGGTTCGGAGCTGGTTCTTCGTTGATGAAGAAAGACTTGCACAGGACTGGCTCGAAACTAAGCTATCCACTAAGTTTTTATTGAGATACTCTTCTCCTCTGCGTTGACAATGACTTTGGCTTATTGATTGCATGGCAACCCCGCATGTGTACCTGCAATGACTCCAGCTTAAAGGTCCTCCCACATTGCCTGCATTAATCAACAGAAAGCAACCCCCCCTAACGTCTTAAACTCCGGTAAAATTTTGGAAAGAATCCACCTAGAATTGGACTTTAAATTAAGTACGCTTTTCTTGTGTCATACATGAATTCGTCAGAGCTTGGCTCCAGGATGACAATTGTCATCTTAAAGCCTGTGGAGTATGCGCAGTGCTTAGTAATGCAACTCTTGGTCTACGTAATCGATCCGTTTATTTATTGATACTGATGTCCAATCCAGAATTCACCCTAGACACGAACTCAGTGTAGAAAAAGTTATCATTTATGCCTCAAAACTTGGCTGCAAGAAGGATGAAGAGTCAATAGTTCTGCTATTAAAACGAAATACACAGCAGCAATTGCACTTCTTGTCAGGGCGCTTCAGATAGAATGTTGAACATGGATGCTTCTAGCTTTTCATAATTGAACATATCGACGTTAGATGACTTACAGGGCACAAGTAGGACCTTCCAAATACTGAATATGGGTTTCAATTCATCAGGAATCGCGCTTACTTACAAGCATTCATGCAAGACCATGTCCACAGGAGGTTCGCTTTTCATCACTGCCTCCTGGAGCGACTTCTCCCAATCCATTTGCGTTAGGCCTGGAGTCAGTAGTCTGCCACGAAGGGCCACCCCACATCGTTAGATTACACCTTTTTAAATACAAACTCTTATGACAAGGAGGGAGAGCTACAGGAGTTGGGATCGAAAGAAGAACTGCTATAATACTATGTTCAGTACAAATACGTAATTGAATCGTCTCGACAAACCTGTCTTCTCTACTTTTGAAGTCCTTTGGCCTGGAGGGATGCTCGAAGGGCCAACCCTTTGATCCTTCGTTTAAACTCGATTTTAAAGAAGCTTTATCAGCAGCTTCAGTTGCTCTCTGAGTCGTCCTCTTCAAGCCTTGATTGTTACCACTACCGGCATGTGAGGTACGGGAATCGAAAGTAGAGCTGTCTGAAACTCGAGATATGGTAGATTCTTCTACTGTATGAAATTGTTCGTCATGACGCTTGGGAGAAGACTCCTTGCTCAAATTTCTGGAAATTTCAATTATCTTCTCATCAGAGGTCTTCAAGGTAGCGTCAGGCGTACGATTGAACATTTCCGGAAAATAAAGAAGACGCAAGTATTTTACTGTACCAAACTTGCTTGAAGAGAAACAAGATCCAGCAGAACTTGTAGAGTGAAATTGAACAAAGGCATGAACTGCACATTAACTGTAAAACATGCATACTCAAGGTCATGCCTAAGTCTTCATTAAAATGTTAGAAAAGCTGCTAAAATTTTGGTTTAGAAATTTTCTCAGTCATATACGGAGATGTTATTGGTGATCAAAGAGCTACGTAGCCCATACCTGGAAATCGACGTTTCTGAACACTTTTTAGCATTAGGTCTTCTCTGCTTCGAGGTCACGCTGTTGGGGGGCTCTTCTTGGGTTTTACCAGTAGTTCGGCCGTGCGTGTTGTGCATAGATCCTGGACTGGGAGTGTCAGGTTCAACCCTTGATTTGGGAGCCTGCCGGGATGGAGGCGTACTCGCCGTAGGGCTTTTTGAGTCCAATTTAGCCTCCTGCTTGTCTCCTTTCGATCCGGACATGACCTTGTGTTCGTCTCTGCGGGGTACCGGCCGTGTCACTGGCTCTGGAACTTCTGAAACTTGAGGAATAGTGCGCATTCTGCAAACTCCTCGAGCCGGAAGTTTCGCGAGAGCTTCCATAGTTTCTCTATACGAGAGATCAAGAGCGTTGTTACCAAATGATCGGAGCTCTGGTAGGAGAGGATCAATTTCTGGTAGGTCTGTGACAAGAGCAGCAGTTCCAAGCGGTTGAGGTGCTGCTTGAACGAAGCTCAACTGCTGCTTAGATGAGTCTTCTGCAGAAGGTGCTTCACTCATGAGCTTGGGAACGGGTGAAGGTCTCTCTCCAGACTCAAAGTACTGCAAGAGTGTCATGTACTCCATTGTAGGCTGATCTGAAGAGGTGTGGGTGTTCTGTTTCTCTGAAGCTTCTGGACAAGAATTGATGCTCTTTGGAGACTCGTCAACCAAAAATCCTGTATTCTTCCCTGGACTCTTGGAGACTTTATTGCTTTCATCTCTTGCTTTGCTTCTGAAGGGCATCTTCGTTCTCGCTCGAGTTGAATCAACGACATCGATGCCTCTGCACATCCGCGGCCTAAAACTTCCCAACCGGGTTGCCTTTCGCAATACGCCGTATAAAAATGGATCCTCAGGAGCAGATAAGCACGGCGAACTAGTTTCTGTTATAATATCATGCACTTCCATTCGAGGGATGCGCTGCTCGTCGTCAGAACTTTTGCTATGAATAAGTTCTGTATAGATAGTGCTTTTGTCAATCTCCTTCTCCCACATCCTTCTCTTGGGAACTGAACTCACGGCAGGTGAAGGAGAGAATACTGACATGTTATCTTTCATGATGGGTGTAGCTGTCGAACTATCTATCAACTCCTTACGATCCGTTGCAGCATCCTTGTGCAGCGAGGACTCCCTAAAAGGAGTCTGTGAGCCCGCGTTGCACTGCTTGGCCACCGAAGACTTTTCTATCATAGATGCTACGCTTTTAGTTCCATTCCTTGGAAGATGATCTTTATCTTCGCCAACATTGCCAGATATAGAAGATGTATCTTTGTCATAGACATCACCCTGAAGCAACAACTCTCTTCGCACAGTTCGTGAGCTTAAAATAATTTTGTTTAATTTTTTTTGAATATTTTATTCAAATATATGTAATAAAATAAAAATAAAGTATAAAGTTAATGAATAAAAAAATACATATTTTTGTATATAAAAAATAAACTAGGAATATTTAGTTACATTATCTATTTTATAAAAATTTTATATTTTAGATTTTATCAATTTTTATATCTATATGTTTTTTTTAATATGTAATTTTCTAAAATATTTTTTAAAAAATAATATTTATAAATTCTTTTGATAGTCATATAAATAAAAAGAAAAAAAATAGAGGTGAATATAATAACAATAGGTTGATTATGTCAATTGCCAACGATATGAATCTTAAAGAACTAAAGAATGAATACACGCTTGTGTCACTCAAAAAGAATAGATAATTATAGAAAGAATATATTATATTGAACTAGAATGACTATTTCCAAAGATAAGAAAATTAGAACCTCTTGAAATAAGACTAAGAACAAGAAAGGCATTCATAAGAATAAATTAGTCTTTATTCTTGCTTCTATATATATTATCTAATCAAGAGCTAAATGGTGATGTTCTAAAGGACCTCTAATACATGACCAACTTATGAGATGCATGTCCAACTGACAAGATAAGTTTCTTATATGTGTGCCATATGGTTAACTTGTACTACAAGCTACTAACATGTACAATATGTGGCTGACTTATTGGCTAAGTTTTTAACTTCAAATCAACTACAAACATGTCTAAAGTCATATCCTCTTCTATAAAACTTCTAAGACACTTTATCATAAGATATTATCAAATCTACTTACATTTATCATCTATCTAATATTTCTTGTCTATGTAAATATGTATGTCTGTGATACTTCTATAAACTTTAATGAAGCTTTGTATATGTAGATTATATATATATATATATATATATATCACATAACTGTATAAACTTTTTTTAGGAGTTTTTTTTTTTTTTTTTTTTTTTTTTCCTTAATATATATATCAAGGTTAAATTTTAACTATTCTTAATTTTTTTCAATATTTTTTTATGTTATATCTTTGTTTCAAAATTCTTTAATTTTTTATTATTTAAAAAGAATTATTTCAATATATTTTTATTCTATATATGTATATATATTAATTAAAAATTCATACCATTGGTACAAAATTAGTTAATTTTGTTCAAGATACTATTCATAATTGTTTTTTTGCATATCTTGTATAATTTTATTTTGTAAGTATATAGAAAATATCAGATAGATGTGCTTACAAATCCTCCATAAGAAGCCCAAATATAATGCACCTATGCTTGTAGTACTGAAAGTAGTATAATAGAACTTATTTCTTTAGCTTCTTTTCTGCAACTATTATTAGGAAACCTGCCACATACATCACTATGATTAGAAACTTGGTGCTTGCATCTATAGTTCTTTTACATCTACAAACTAATAAGCATTAAATTCTTTGATTAGGAATGTACATTAGATTTGACATTACATTAGAGATTGACATTAATCAATTTAACTTAAAATCCAAAATCTATTATTTATCTTCTTTTTTTGTGATTTTTTTTATAAAAATCAACTTGTACAAAATAATATCACTTTTGCTTCTTCATCCTATCAATGCCAATTATTACTACTAATGAGTGCAATGTAAAAGGATTTATAAGCATATAATTTTTTAAAAATTATATAGAAGTTATAATATTTATCTTTTTGAATTTTATTTGCTAAAGATAAAAAAAAAAAAATGATGCAAAATCTAATTTTTTTATTCAACAATCTAACTGTATTTGCACCATTGTCATAAAAAAGATCAATTTTTTTTAAAAAATACTATTTAGAAAAACAAATATATATGTTTGTAAAAGCTCTTATATAAGAAAAAAACTTTCAACAAATAATGTCATAGTGGAGTGCTCTTTATGTTCTTTCAACACATAGGATTCAACTCAAAAGCTAGATATGCTTTACTTTACAATTGTAAAAGTATCCTTTAATTTACTAGTGAAGTTCATTACAACCTATGGCTATGGCAATAAATTAAGTAATACATTTGATGTATTTAATCAAGTAGAATCTTATATATGCAGCCCTATAATGTAAGTTTTTACCAAGCTGGTAGACATTCTTATCAATAAAAATGAGTTTGAGAGAGTAGATTTTGTATATGAGAAGTTAATGCATAAAAAAATACTGTGGTACCAAAAGCCTAATACAAAAATCTACTTTTGATCAAAAAAATTGTAGAACTTATATTATAGAAGGAATTTTTAAAAAGACTAGATATTTGAGATTGTCTTAGCTATTGTACTTTTTTTTTGAATTATTATCATATATTTTTTTTACATATCAAATCAATGTCTTCTAAAAAATTAAGAATTGGTTATGGAATATTGTAGTCAGATATTTATTTGAAAGATAGTAAAATTTGATTTTACAATATTTTAAGGAATATTTGATTTTTTAAAAAAAATAATAAAAAAAATAGTTGTCATGAATATCTAATAAAAATATTTAATAAATATTATTAAAATATTCTATTAAATTTAAAAATATTTTTATAATATTTTAATAAAAAAAAGCCAAATAGATTTCTAAAAGTTTTTGGAAGATTCTTAAAATATTTTTAAAAATTCTAATAAGTTTTAAGAGGATTAAGAAAATTTTCCAAAAAAGATCTTAGGATTTCTTTGTTTTTAAACAGCATAAGAACTTCTTGAGATGCTTTCTGATACCTAATATTAAAATTAAGACTTGAAGGATCTTCAGTCTTGACAACTTATTTCTTGGAGCTTTAGTTGTCAAGAACATGAATCTCAAAGAAAAAAATCCTCAAATACTTTCTTATGTCATTTAAAATGACTTAAAAATCATGTTGGAAGTCCTATAGAAGATCGCTATGTAGATTGTAGTTAAAAAGTATATATGGAGGCAAGAATGAAGCTTTCTTTACTCTTATCAATACCTTTTTAGTACTGGCTCCCATGTGTATTTATTAATATTATATCTATCTCAATAAGCAAGATATTCTAACTTATTTTTGGCTCCGTCTTAAATCTAAGATCTCTTTTATGTCAAATTCTCTATTATTATCCTCTTCTAAAGAAAGAATTGGCATTTATCTTCTATGCAAAGTATTCACTGTTTTATATGGTTGAAGAAGAAATATGTAGAATATAAGATGGATCTCTATAGAATTTATTAGTTACAAATGATAAGCAACAAGATTGATTTATTTACAAATAAAAAAAAGGTCCAAGTTTATAATAGTCCAATTTGTCACAAAGACAAGTAGTCTTGATATTGTAACAAAGTATCCATATCTTCTTGCTTACATTGAATTTTAGTTGTTTTTTGTAATAGGAATTTACATTGATCTTTTATCGTTCTTGAGCTTCCTTAAATTGCACCTTCATTGTTAGATGTAGCTTTGATAAATAATTTGCTAAATCTTTTATTATAGGATTATTAACTTTTGAAAAGTTAAAAGTATCAAATCATGGATGATAATCATTATTAGTAAAAAAAGGTGTTTTTTAAATAAAAAATTGCATGAAATTATTATATGCAAACTCTACTAGTACCAAAAGAGTTCTCCAATCATCTTAATAATAGTTGATGGCACATCTCAAATACTATTCTAGAACTTCATTTATATATTTTTTTTGTCCACCAATTTGAAGATGAAAAGCCAAAGAGAGCTTTATATCTATCTTTAGAATCTTAAAAGAATTCTTCAAACTCTTAATACAAATTCAATCTTCTTATCTAATATAATATCTTTGAGCAATCCATGATAGCAATAGATGTTATAAAAAAAAACTTAGTTATATTTTTACTTATGATAGATTTATATGTGGTATAAAATGTGCCATCTTAGTAAAATAATCTAAAATCACAAATATACAATCATACAAACTTGAGACCAGAAGATCCAAGATAAAATCCATAGAAATAAAATACCATGATTGTTTCTAAATAAATAATAGATGAAGAAGTCCACAAGGTCGATGATAAAGAATTTTTGATTTTTAATAAATATCACATGATTATACAAAGTCTTTAACTGCCTTTTATATTTGAAGCCACTAAAAATCTCTTGATATTAGTTCCAAAATCTTATTATATTCAAAATATCTAACTGCCAAAAAGTTATGACAAGCTTAAAGAACATATTATTATACTTTGCCTTTTGGAATATATAATCGTTTCTTAAAATTAAATAAATTATTCTTAAATTCCAACTTAAAAGTACCATAAAACTTAAAAGAATTATTTGTGATATTATGAATAATAAGATTAGAGGATATATTTGAATAAAATTATTTGATAAAGGTTGTATCAACAATCAATGTTGATTTTATTGCTCAAAGAAGAAAATACTTTTTCTTCAAGAGAATTATTTTTTGTTGATCAAAAACTACATTTCTTACTTTTGGTGCAAAATAAGAGCATCTAGAAAGGATGTGTAAGAAACCTTGTTATTTTTTGGATCAATTAATAATCTTGAAATCAAATCTCGATAAAGACATGCTCTAATGGACTTAGTTACGATTCAAAATATGTATTGACATAAAATACTCAAAAATCTTAAGATAAATATATATAATAATTAGACTTAAGGTAACTTTTAAATAATAATGTCATTCTTGAAATAAATCCATAATTGCAAGAAATTCTTGTTCATAGATCTATTTATTAATCTTAATTGCTAAAAAAATTTTGGAATAAAAAGCTACCAAATAAATTTTTTTATTTGCTCCTATTGGTGACAAATGATACTTATAGCAAAGTTTGATGCATGTATTTTTATAAAAAATGCCCTAAAAAAAATTGATGTAATATAAAATTAGAAGAAAAATACACATCAAACATAAAGTTCATATTCTTTTGTATTCTTAAAATGATTGGAATATTTTTTAAATAACAAACAATAAAATTATTAAAAAATTCATGAAAAATATCATTTATGAGATGTTGAAAAGTAATTTCTTCATTCGTGAGTCTAAAAATTATGACATTATATTCAAAATATCT